GTCTTCTATGGGAAAATATTCAGTTCCTTTGGCCATGTTTTAATTGAGTTACTTGGTTTTTTGCTATTGAATTGCATGAGTTCTTTATACATTTTGGATATTTTTAAAATTAATTTATTTTATTTTTAGGTTTTTGTGGGGGTGTAATTAGGTTTATTTATTTATTTTAATGGAGGCACTGGGGGTTAAACCCAGGACCTCGTGCATGCTAAGCACATACTCTACCACTGAGTTATACCCTCCCCTCTATATATTTTGGATATTAACCCCTAAAAGCAAAAAAATTTAAGGAGACCAGCAAACACTCCTTTGTGTGGCCCCAGAACCAGGTACAGGTGGACACATGAGCAGGAGCCAGCCTTGGAGCTGGTGCATTTTCCATCAGAATTACAAGTCTGCTATAAAATTATCTAAGCTGTGCATTGTATGGTTTCTTCTTGCAGATCTTAAATCAACTGGAAGTGGTGAAAGAATTTCTGAGAAACAATGAAGATCTTAGAAATGGTCTTACAGAAGACATGCAGAAGCTTGACAGCCTGTATCAACAGCCTCCAAAAACGGATTCAAAGGAACCCGGGGCACAAACATCTGAAGGGAAGGCCTGACGTGAGTTTAAGTATATGATGTTGAATAAGGACAGAACAGCCTCATCTCTTTGCTATCTCTTTTAATTGACAGGGGGAAGTAAGTAGGTTTTATTTTATTTTTAGAGGAAGTACTGGGGATTGAACCCAGGACCTCATGCATGGTAAGGATGTGCTCTACCACTTGAGCTCTACCCTCCCCTTTTTGCTATCTCTTAGGTAAAGGCCATAAGGACACATAGCTTAGTCTCATCTGAAGTTTCCCTATGTCCTTATTATTTGAAAGAGAGGACACTGAGCTTTGTGCTCTTTCTAATTGATGGTTCTCACATCTGTGAACTAATTCAAAATAAACTCCCTGTTAGCTTTGTTTAGTTAAGTACACTTGTAGTCATCAGTCTGGTAGTGAATGAATCAACTATAACATAATTAAAAAGTGTTTCAGCCCTCAAGTGATGCCAACAATGCCTCGCTCTCAGCTATGCCATTAATAATTGCAGCTTGTTAATTTTCATAAGAAAAATTTGTTAAAAGAGGTAACTCTCTTCAGTATTTTGCTTTTTCCCTCCAGTGAAGAAAATTAAATATTTTCTTTCATTTTAGGTTGACCTTCAACAAAAATCAAGCATGTTCCATGACGGTCAGCCCAGCTTTCGTCTCAGTCATCCTTTTCTGTGCAAAAGGAAAAACTTACCAGTGAACTCCACCCAAACAAAGATGGATTCATGTTGTGTTTTCCTGGACTTGCCTTTGACTATTTGGGGGTATTTTTTTTATATTCATAAGCTCATTGGTATGTGATCTGTACCAACCAAAAAATACTAGATACTCTTGTGCCAGACTTGCAATTATCTGGAGTTTTTGTTTGTTTGTTTATTGGGTTTGGGTTTGGGTTTATTTTGCTATTTAAAAGATGAAATTCTTTCCTGGTCCCCAAACTCTTAATTGCTTCAACAGGAAAGTCTGCGTTTGGCCAGGCTGGTGTGAAGGGTCATGCAGAGTTCTCTGCCCACTGGCACATAGGTCCTGTCCCCACACCCCTGCCTGAAAGTCTCATTCATGAGGATGCTGGGGTGGGGAGGTGGTGGGGGGCTGTGAAATGTTGAGATACAAATCCTTCCTTTTTGGCAGACAGCAAGGAAAATATTTGCCTGAAAGGCCGTTTTCTAGCCGTTTCTAATTAGTATGGAACTGTTACTACCTGTTTCTAGTAGCCTGAGGCCATAGGACAAGGAGGTGGGCCCAGGCTGGTCAGCGCTGGGCTGGTGAACACAGTAACTTCACTGACCAAAGCAGGGGGAGATCCCCGGCCAGCAGCACAAACAGGGGTGTCAGGGGAAGTTCTGAAGTTGCTGGCTTGTTTAAGCAGTGACTGAAGGGTCAACTGATAGCTGAGAGGTATTCATAGACATAAATGTTGGTTGCACAATTAACCAAACTTGGTCCTTTGTTATGAGATTTAGGACTGAAATTTTAACATTCTTATGGAAATTCAGACATTTTCTTTCAGCAAATTCAGACAAATTCATTCATACTTCCTCTATTCCTTTAACTAAAAAGTTCTCCACTTTTGACTTTGTCCTGTTTGTTTCTGGAACTGGGAAACCCCTGGCTTGTTGGGTGCAGTGGTCTGAGGGGCCAGCTTTACCCTCACCGTCCCCTCTGTCTGCTCATGTCCAAAGCCAGCGGTCCTGAACTGAGCCATGTCACCTTTGGACCTTCAGAGACAGAATTGCTGCATTCCCCACTGCCTGGAGGAAGAGCTTCTGATCTGAGCCCAAGGGAAACCGTGCCCCTTTGCTTACTCAGCTGCCCATCAAAGATGTGATCTGCAGAGAATGGGCGGGTGAGGGGTGTAGATTTGGCATATTTTTACGTTACAACGCATTTAATGTAATTCTGTTAAACCTGCGTGAATGCAAATGTGCCTGTAACTTCCTGCTTTCATCTTTCCCAATACTGTTTGGTCTTTAATCTTACATTTTCTTTCTCCCTTCATTTCATGGACTTCAATTGTAAAGTAACAATTTTCTTTCATCTTGCAACTCCTCCCAGACTAAGAAACTTCATGAACTATTTGCCAACTTCTAGACAGAAGATAACAAAACTTGGGATCAAATTAAATCATGATTCGCTAACCAATTTAAGACCTGATTTCTCACCTTAGGAACTTTGGGTTATGCATACTTTCATTTCACACCTCTTGTATCTCTTTAGCTTTTCCTTATCTACCCCGCAAACATTTAGCAGGTGTCAGCCACGCGCCAGGCACTGAAGTAGATGCAAACGTCAGGGTGTGTAAGGTATGGACAGTGGTAGGTGAGCTGTCGTCTTACTGGATTTCTTGTCTGCTCTGAAAAATTAAAGATACTGTTCAGAACAGTCTGGCAACATTTAATTACATTGAAATTGAAACAAAGAAAGGAAGCCATGCCCAGAGAGGGCTTTAAAGCAAACATAGTGTGTCCAGGAACATCAGTTTGTGGGCCTCTCTTCAATGGATCTGTGCTCGTGGGCACGGGACATGCCCAAAAGGGAGTGGTGTCTGAGACATTAGAGAGCAAAGCAGAATGCATAACAATGCATAGCATGGTGTAAAACGAAGGTACTTTCGAATAACAGAGGTCTGGAAAATTGTGTGCTTTTCTCATGCTTTTTTGCCACGTTACCTCTGAAAGGAATTGGGGTTGCATTTGGCTTCTCTGTTTTTTTGCACGCACCCATATGAAATGTTTACAACAAACCTGCGCGCCTGTATTTTGAAAAGGTTTCATTAGAATTTGAAATTTCAAAATAATAGACATAATATAAATTCAAACTGCAAGGAAATGTTTCACATTTCTAAGAATGTATTGTAGTCTTCATTTTTGCAGGGGGTCAGCTCTACCTCCAGGGGCACTTGTGAGTTGTCAGGGTCAGGAGAGGCCCAGAAGTGGTTTCCTTTGCGTGCAGGGCTGTTTCATCTCCGAGTGCCTTGTTTTTGTCCAACGATGTGCTTTGCTCCTGGCGTCTCCCTGGGACACAATAAGAGGCTCCTCATTTTGAAAGAATTAGAGGAGAAAAATGGTTATAGCATTATAGTTGCAAGGATAAGGCAGTTTTGGGGATTTTAGCCTGTGCTTTGCCAGGAAAGTCAGAGGACCTAAAGAGAGAGACTTTATTTATTAAACTTAGTATAAAACCCAAATTCTGGGGGGAGGGTATAGCTCAGTGGTAGAGTGCATGCTTAAGCATGCACAAGGTCCTGGGGTCAATCCTCAGTACCTCCATTAAAAATTAAAATAAAATAAAACCCAAATTCTGGAAAATAACAAAAATGGGTCAGGAACAAAAACTGGAAAAATAGCCCTGCCAATTCGGAAAGTGTTATTAGCTTCATAAAGCAGTGATAGAGATCTGTAGACAGTTTAAGTTAAATTGCCAAGACCAGAAGCGATTATGTTCAAGAGTTTGGGGAGATTATGAAATGATCATTACCCTAATGATTTGAAAGCTGGGTTCTTATTAAAGTATTAATCACTTATATGGCTTTAAACATTAATATCCTGGGCAACAAAGGGTTAGGGCTTTTAGCTGGGTGGGCGTACTACAAATTAGATCCTGTAAGTGGAGCACTGCATTAGAGTGGAGGTGTTAAAATCTTTTGGAATTTTCTGTAATCATTTTGCCCTCTAAATTATAAATGTCGAGTGACGGGAAATTATCAGCAGGGATTACCCTCCTTCCCCCTTACCAGGTTAATTAAAAACCTACCTGCTCTGAAATGTCTTCAACAGACAGTGGCCTTTTACTGAAATATAATACTCAAGTTACAAAATACACTTAGTAAGACAAATCTAAAAAATGTATTAATTTCTATTCATGTAAGAGTAAAGTGGAAAAATCCTCAAGTTTTAATAAAAATCTTGATACAAGGTTATGATTCATTTCAGAATTTTAAGAACTGGTTTTTATTATTGCATTATAGACTGAACTATCTAAAATATGACGAGCTACCACTATCTTCCAGAGACTTCCTTCCTGCCTCTCAAACCCATCCTCTATGATAGATGCATGTTTGTAATGAGCACAAAACTGTAAACTGAACATTTTGTGACATCTCTTTGGGAAGGTGGGCACTGACCTTACATGCTTTATTACTTTCAACTGAGTTTCTGAAAGGCATGAGAATTTTTATGTCAAAACCACATGTGGTAGCCAGCCTCCAAGATGGCCCCTCAATGATCCCTGCCTCCTGGTATTCCCACTCTTGTGTTGCCCTCCCCCGATGTACCTAGGTTGGTCCATGTGACCAAGAGAACACAGCTGAGAGACTGTGGCTTCCATCTTGGGCTTTCTCTCTCTTGGAACACCTTCTCTGGGAGAAGGCATGTTGTGAGCAGCCCTATGACCCACATGACAAGGGACTGATTCCTCCTGCAAACAACTGTGGGACCGAGCTTGGAAGCAGATCCTCCATTCCCAGGTAAGTCTTCAGAGACTGCAGCCCCAGTGGACAGCTGAGAGACCGTGAGCTAGAAGCACCCAACTAAGCCACTCCCAGATTCCTGACCCTCCAAAATTGTGTAAGATATTGGTTGTTTTAAGCTAAGTTTGGGGGTGATTTATTACACAGCAATAGGTAACTAACACACTACCATTTTCCAGAGTTTGTTTCTCCTCCTGTACACAGAATGTGAAATGCAGAAACTGCCTACAAAGAGGGCTACTGCTTAGATGCCACAGAAGATAAAGGGGACTCCTCCAGAGTTCCACTAAAGTTGTGTCTCTCTTATCCAAAACCTGATGTCTTCAGAACCTTTCAGAGTTGTGTTCAATTTCTTTGCATTTGAAACCTTTTAACAAAAGCAGGGTTTAAGCACTCTTAAACACATACATTGGAGTTCTCCAGTAGACCACTCTGGGACTTCCCACATTCTCCAGAGGCGTGGCAGGGGTAAGGGATTCACGGTGAAATCCTAGAGGGCAGACTGTTGCCCAGGTAATGGCCTCACACCCGCAGCCCTACCCTTTTCTTTTCCCTTGTCATGCTCCCAGGTTTAAGCAAAATCCTTTTGCACCCATAGGAGTCCTAGTGGGGCATACCGTGGGCTTAACACTATTGACCACTGGCCCTCACCCCCAACCCTAACTAGTGTGCAACACAGGGTGATAGATTCCCTAGTTTTACAAACTACCATTTCCTCCGTTTTTAGGCATGAGAGAAAGAGGAAAGGATCGTGATCTTGTTTTTATTTTCAGTTTACCTAGAATCCAGGGTTGACAGCAACTGACCTCAGAGTCGTGTTTCCTGTTTCCATTGAAGGTTCTATCATTGTTCTTGGTCACCAAGAGATTCTAGGTTCTCTTGCTAAGTACTCCTTAAAAGCTGGATTTCACTGAATTCACTTAAACCCACTTGGAAGTATTTCCCTCAGTAGAAACAGCCCTTGGACTTTCCTTTTTATGGTGTAAAGAGATTGTGGCTGTACCGAGTTTTTAAAGTCGTGTGCTACTAAGCACCTTTATTTGGCCTGGACACCCAGTACAAGTAACAAAAACGTATTTCCAAGAGAGCTTTAAAAAATCAATAAATTAGATAATTTGAAGTGTCATTCAGTCTTTCTCGCCTACATAAACTAACCCTCAAGTTACAGGTCCCATGAAGAGGAAGACTAGCCAATTCCCCTCACCTTCTAAAAAACATTTCAGGTCCCCAACACGAAATAAACCAAACTCAACAGCTTCAGTTCTGTGCTATTTGCCTTTTTTTTTATTAACCAAACTGCAACTTTAAATCAGATTTGCACTGTTTGGGTCAAAATGAAACTTGTTATTGGTCTTTTCTCTAGGAAGAACAGTTCAGTGCTTG